GCTTAAAAAAAGGAGGAGGCTATCTCGATTTATCCCTTGTATTTTCTTTCCACTTTCCAATTTAGTTCCAATCCCAATCACAGAAAAATTAAACTTATGGGGGGGGGACTAACACACTATTTTTAACAGAATAATAAAGTGGGGAGGGACTTTGGAGGTCTTCTAGCCCAACCCCCTGCTCAAGCAGGAAACCCTAGACCATTTCAATCAATCAATCAAGAAGCAACGGGTGGAAACTAATCAAGGAGAGAAGCAACCTAGAACTAAGGAGAAACTACCTGACAGTTAGAACAATTAACCAGTGGAACAACCTGCCTCCAGAAGTGGTGAATGCTCCAACACTGGAAGTTTTTAAGAAGAGACTGGACAGCCATTTGTCTGAAATGGTATAGGGTTCCTGCCTGAGCAGGGGGTTGGACTAGATGACCTCCAAGGTCCCTTCCAACGTTGTTGTTATTATTATTATTATTATTATTATTATTATTATTATTATTATTATTATTATTATTATTATTATTATTATTAATCAATCAATCAGAATAGAGCTGGAAGGGACCTTGGAGGTCTTCTAGTCCAAACCCCTGCTCAGGCAGGAGACCCTATACCATTTGAGACAAGTGGCTGTCCAGTCTCTTCTTCAAAACCTCCAGTGTTGAAGCACCCACAACTTCTGGAGGCAAGTTGTCCCACTGATTAATTGTTCTCACTTCTCCTTAGTTCTAGGTTGCTTCTCTCCTTGAAGAGTTTCCATCCGTTGCTTCTTGTCCTGCCTTCAGGTGCTTTGGGAAATAGATTGACCTCCCCCCTCTTCTTTGTAGCAGCCCTTTCGATAAATTGTGGCAGCCCCTCAAATATTGGAACACTGCTATCATGTCACCCCTTCTTTTCACTAAGCATTTTTTCATCAACCACTTCATTAACATGGTCTTGGTGACCTGGGATATATTTTTGAACAGTGTTGATCCTACGCCTTAAGATCTGATCTCCAGTATCTGGGACTTGTGAGTTGTGGTGTATACTTATAGATGACAGCTTGATACCGTTCAGAAACATTGAGATGGTGGCCTCCATAGTTGAGTCAAAGCTTCCTAAGCAAGCAGGCGAACACTGGGTAGCTGGGCATGATGGAGGTGGTACCCCATCCACATCTGGAGTTCAACTCACAGTTCTCATGGTCTTCGGGCTCCATCTCATTTGTCCACCTGCAAGGAGAGGTCTTCTGGAGGGGGGTTCTTTTCACCAAGGTGTGTCTGCTTCTTCCAGCCTCGGGCTTCACTTGCCCAGGTGATTGGTTGGCTCCCAACTGCTTCACTACACCTGGTGCTTTATTTGAGGATGGTGAACAGGGAGGCCCATCAATCGTAGATGATGCTCTCGGGATGCTGTAGGACCTGGAACCAAAAAACCCAGGTAGGTAAAATCGGTAAAGCGCATTAAATTTGTTTTCTGTCCCGCTACACGTGCTTCCTTTCCGAACTGTGGACCGCCTAAACTCACCTCCGCGGAGGGCAGAATTAGCAGGCTGGAAGGAAAGAGAAAAAGGGGCGTAGAAAAAGTGAGTGAAACTAAAAAAATAGAAGGGAAGAAGGCTGCAGAACAAGAACGAACAGGAAGGAAGAGAGAGTGTTGTAGGACTGGAAAAGAGGTACATAAAGGAGAAGGGCAATAGGTAACATGCTGTACCTCGTCTTTGCCAACTGGCGCTTGGGCAACTGTGCCAAAGGCGATGCCCTGCTGGTTTCTGATCCCACAAAACCGCTGTCTGTCTCTGGAGACACAATGCGCAGATCCTGCAACGAAGGGCAGAGAGTGACTGGTGGAGCTACTGGCCAAATGATCCCGGATCTCCCCTCCTTCCGCCGCGCCCTTAAGACCTGGTTATTTCAGCAGGCAGGACTGGCCTAGGGGTATTTTAAAGGGGTTTTAAATTAAATTTTTAGTAGAAGCGGCCAAATTTGAATAGTTATTTTTAATCTTTTTTAAATTTTGTATTGTACTGTACTATTGTTTTAAACTGGCTGTAAGCCGCCCTGAGTCCTCCGGGAGAAGGGCGGGGTATAAATTTAATAAAATCTAAATCTAAATCTAAATCTAGACATCTCTCTAAACTTCTCCTGAAGGCCACCAGGCTTGGTCACAGAAGTATCTCCTTCATTTGGATGTACCTTCCTTCCATGAACGTTAAAGACCTGGGTGAAAGGCACGTTCTTTAGGAAACAGCCGTAGCTCCATCCAAAATGGACTCAACCACGTCCAGTAGACTTACCTGGTGAGGTTTCTAACTATCTCCAATACCTGAAAGACCCCAGAGGTGAGGAAACAAAAGTTTTCTTTCTATCCTGGTCTCCAAAATTCTGTTCTGGAGATATTTGAGATTATATTTCCTTCCTTCATCTTCCCAAGGAAGCCAATGGGATTCTCTCTCTCCCCCCCACCCCCCATGTCTACCATCACCAACTCAAAACTTACCTCACACAACGTCGTGTTCGTCTTCCGGGGTAAATGTGGAGCTGCACGTTCCGATGCTAGGCTACCCCTCACACTCGCCATGCTGCTTTGAGGTGAAAACTCTGCCTGCTGCCTTCTGGAGAACGTCTTGGGGACAGCAACGGTGGGACTGTTGATCTCTGCAGGTTCACGGAGACCTGCTTCGGCTTGGACGGAAGACAAACGTCTGCTCTGGCGGCTTGGCTGGTGGACCTTTCTGGAGTTCTTCTCGTGAGGTTCCCTGTCACAAAAAGCAAAGTGTGTGAACAAGTCCCTATATGTAAGGGACATGCGGATGTTTCCAAGAAGCTAATCAAGGTTGCAACTGACAATCTGACAAGCAAGCTGAAGAATAACAGAATGGCAGATTCGGAAGGGACCTTGGAGGTCTTCTAGTCCAACCCCCTGCTCAGGCGAGGACCCTTAGTATCCAGAAACCAACACAAACTCCAAATGTACGTTTGTAAAATGTAGACAAATCCTCCTACAACCTGTGTGTGCCTTGGGAAGCAAAAATCTCCTAGCTAAGTGGTTATGTGCAACTTAGACCTAATTCACAAGGGCCTGGAGACCAAAACATATGAAGAACAGTCGCAGGAATTGGGTATGGCTAGTCCGGTGAGAAGAAGACATGATAGCAGTCTTCCAATATCTGAGGGGCTGCCACAAAGAAGAGGGGTTCAGACTACTCTCCAGAGCACCTGAAGGCAGGACAAGAAGCAGCAGATGAAAACCTATCAAGGAGAGAAGCAACCTAGAACTAAACAGAAATTATCTGACAGTTAACAGAAGGGAATTAACAATTAACTGAAGGGAACTGTTTGCCTCCAGAAGCTGTGGGTGCTCCATCACTGGAGGTTTTCAAGAACAGCCTGTATGAAATGATAGAGGGTCTCCTGCTCAAGCAGGGGGTTGGACTAGAAGACCTCCAAGGCCCCTTCCAGCTCTATTCGGATTGAAATCCTCCTTACCTCTTTTCCTAGAAACCAACCCTTCCCCCTCACTCAGAACCTCCATCTGTCCTTACCTCCTGTGTAGGAAATCAGGAGTGGTGCTGAAGTGTTAAAACCACAGAGAAATCTTTGTGGCAGCCTGGAGGCAGTGCCAAGTTTTACGCGCAGAGCTGAAAACTTGAAAAGTGGGGCACGATTGCCTCCAAACACACACTCTTCCAACCAAATCCCACGGATTAAAAAAAAAAGAAGAAGGACGTTGGTTCTCAGCTATTGCTCCCGCCTCTTAAGTTTTCCCTGCTGACCTTTGACTTCCTTCCTTTCAAATTCCTGTCCATTCTCCCTCTCCTTCTGCATATATAGGAGAGAGAGAGAGAGAGAGAGAGAGAGAGAGAGAGAGAGAGAGAGAGAGAGAGAGAGAGAGAGAGAGAGAGAGAGAGAATGGCTAAAGCTGCTGCTGACCCAGTCTTGGAAAGAAAACAAGAAAAAGCAAAGACGTTCTTTGTTCCTCAGCTTCAGAGGAGGCAGCTCAAAAAGCCAACAAGCCCTGTTTCTAATTTTAGTCACATCCTGGAATGCCCAAAGCACCAGAAAGAAAACAAAACAACAACAACAAAAAAAGAGGAGCTGCTGCTTTTGCAAAAAAAATAACGTGGCCAAATATGCGAGGCCAGGATTCGAATGTTAATTTTTCAAGTTGAAAGCATGGCCGTCCACCAGAGTCTAAAGCTTCGGTTTTGGTTAGTCCCATCGGAGGTTAGATCCCGCTGTTCAAGGAGGGTCCATCAATCTGGGTTTTTTTTTCTTTCGACTTTATGTCCCACACATGCTAAAATATAAATGTTTGCGCTTTCCTCTGTGTACGGTGTGTTTCTTCAGTTTTCTCATATATTTACGTGCATGGCTTAAACTGGGAACTAGAACTTGAATATAGGAAGAACGGTTGCAGGAATTGGGTAGGTCTAGTTTAATGAAAAGAAGGACTAGGGGTGACATGATAGCGGTCTTCCAATATCTAAGGGGGCTGCCACAAAGAAGAGGGGGTGAAAAGAAGGACTAGGGGTGACATGATAGCGGTCTTCCAATATCTAAGGGGGCTGCCACAAAGAAGAGGGGGTGAAAAGAAGGACTAGGGATGGCATGATAGCAGTCTTCCAATGTCTAAGGGCCTGCCACGAAGAAGAGAAGGTGACAAGAAGGACTAGGGGTGACATGATAGCAGTCTTCCAACATCTAAGGGGCTATCACAAAGAAGAGGGAGTCAAGCTATTCTCCAAAGCACCTGAAGGCAGGACAAGAAGCAATGGATGGAAACTAATCAAAGATGGAAGCAACCTAGAACTAAGGAGAAACTTCCTGACAGTTAGAACAATTAACCAGTGGAACGACTTGCCTCCAGAAGTTGCAGGTGCTCCATCACTGGAAGTTTTTCAGGAAGAGATTGGACAACCATTTGTCTGAAATGGTATAGGATCTCCTGTTTGAGCAGGGGCTGGACTAGAAGACCTCCAAGGTCCCTTCCAACTCTGTTATTCTATTCTGTCATTCTGCTTCTTATGAACTTCAGAGCAATAGGAAGTCCAAAAAAGAAGCTTTCCCCAGTCACGTTAAGGTTGGAGGTGGCATCTTAGGTCTTCCAAGGAAATGAATTAGCTCGAGTTGCTTTCTCATGGACTTACTTGGGGGCAGGGGGAGTTTTATTAGCCGCAGAGGACTTCTGTGGGGAGCCACTCTTTGTCCCAGCAGCTGCGGTGGCTTCACAGCCCAGTTCTTCTGCATTGTGTTTGTGACTCAGAACCTCTGGCAAAGATCTGAAGCTGCTGCACCTTGGAATGGAAAAATGGAGAATTAAGCTTAGCTTATTTGGAGAATCAAATCAGGTTTTCCCTACGCTGATTTCAGCTTCTCCCATCTGATTTACCCTTAACAGTACCCAGGAGAATGGAAACTCTTCTCTTTCATCCTTCCATGAAACTTTGATGACCTCAAGATCAGGTGGGAACATCTGATGGTGCCAAGTCTGAATGAATGAACCCAGGGCTGAAAGTGCATGAAGCTTAGAGGAATCCATCATGGATTCTTTCTCATCCCCAATCTTTTTCACCTTCCTTTTTTTCATGGGTGGGTATGAAGTTGAAGGACAGTCTTACTGGTCCAGAAGATGATCCAGGTCCTCCTCTTCCTCTTGGCGCTTGCAAGGTTGGGGGAGCTCCAGGAAATCCCCATCTTCTTCTTCATCTTCTTCTTCTTCACCAGCCCCATCACTGATGGAACTCAAGTCCCCCTCCAGCTGGACTTGAGTGACGTTTTTCTTGGGGGTGGAGGCCTGCAGAGCGGATGGGAAAACTCAAGTGGGTCTACATGGAACCTTCCCTGGACATGCTACTTCCCTCACTCCCTCAGAAAAACCTTCTAAATAATCATAATTTCACCTCAGGATACGGTATGCAGACAGCTGGGACTGGGGCGTGGACGGAAGGTGTCGGGGTTCCCAATTGTTCCTCGGAAAGCTGGACTGGGAAGCCGGGATGTGATGGGGCCCTCCGTGGAGAACTCTCTGGTCCGATCCGTTGGTTCCACGCAGGCTGCTCCATTCTCTCTTTCAAGCCTTCCAAACGCAGGCCCAGATGGAAAATGTTACCTTCCACTGCTCTGAAAAACATTACGCCATCGCCAGAAGTCCTTTAGTTCAGTGGCCCCCAAACCTTTGGGGGACCAGGGACTGGTTCTGTGGTTTTTCCATGGACTGCAGGGAGCATGGTTTTGTATGCTGCCTGTATCCCGCAGATGGGGCTTCTCTTATTTGTGGGGACCGGTTCCTGACATGCTATCTATCTATCTATCTATCTATCTATCTATCTATCTATCTATCTATCTATCTATCTATCTATCTATCTATCTATCTATCTATCTATCTATCTATCTATCTATCTATCTATCTATCTATCTATCTATCTCTATCTATCTATCTATCTATCTATCTATCTATCATCTATCTATCTATCTATCTATCTATCTATCTATCTATCTATCTATCTACCTACCTACCTACCTACCTACCTATCTACTATCTGTCTATCTATCTATCTACTATCTGTCTATCTATCTATCTACTATCTGTCTATCCATCTATCTATCCGTCTATGTCCTGTTCTATCAAAATAAACCTCCAATGAAATTCTTTTTGCACTTTTCATTTTCATAAAATGTTTCAATCTCTATCTATCTATCTATCTATCTATCTATCTATCTATCTATCTATCTATCTATCTATCTATCTATCTATCTATCTATCTATCTATCTATCTATCTATCTATCTATCTATCTATCTATCTATCTATCTCTGCCATGGTGTCACAGTGCTTAGAATGCAGCATTGCAGGTTAACTCTGCCGACTGCCAGCAGTTCGATCTTGACCGGCTCAAGGTTGACTCAGCCTTCCATCCTTCCAAGGTCGGTAAAACAAGGACTCCAGATTGTTTGGGGGGGGGCAAGATGCCGACTCTGTAAACCGCTTAGAGAGGGCTGTAAAGCACCGTGAAGTGGTATATAAGTCTAAGGGCTGTTGCTATTAAAACCCAACTGCACCCTAGGCAAAAAAAGGACCACTGTTTCTGACCCACTGAGTCAGTTCTGGAGACCTGAATGGGATGACGAGGAAACCCAGGTGGATTTTTGAAGGTCTGTTTTCGCTGGGTGGGGATGTCTACGTACCGGCTGGGATCAAATTCTCCTAAGGACTCCATCGCTCCGTTCGGATTCAACTGCTGGTACTTATTCCGAGCCTGCAGATAAGCTTGTTCCAAGGCTTCTTGGGCTTCCTTCAGTCTTGCAAACCCCTACCAGGATAGCAAAATTGGAAGAGGAATAAGCGCAGGTACGCCTCGACTTACAGCGGTTCATTTAGCGACTGAAGTTACAAAAAAAAGAAGACTTAGGACCGTTTTTTACACTTAGAGCTGTTGCGACATCCCCACGATCAAAATCCAGACGTTTGGCAACCGACTCGTATTTATGACGGTGGCAGGGGTCATGGGTCTCAGTACTGGACTGGAAAAATCAGGACTTAACAACAACAACAACAACAACAGTGTTGGAAAGGACCTTGGAGGTCTTGCAGTCCAACCCTTGCTAAAATATTTTATGCAGAAACAAGGCTGGGCCCAAACTTTCTGTTTTGTAAGCGAGACATTGGTTAAGCGAGTTTTGCCACAGGTTGTGACTTTTCTCGCCACAATTGCTGAGTGAATTGTTGAGTGCAGTTGTTAAGTTAGTGTCAGGGTTGTGAAGTGAACCTGGCGTCCCCGTGGACTTTGCTGATCATTCTGACCCCAGGATGCTGCGGCCGTCACAAAGATGAATCAGTTGCCAAGCGTCTGAATTTGGATCACGTGACTCTGCGGATGCTGAAAGGGTCGTAAGTGCGAAAAACGGTCCTAAGTCCCTTTTTCCAGGGCTCTTGTCACTTTCAGTGGTCACTAAACAAGCTGTTGTAAGTCAAGGACTATCTTTGGTCACTTAACGGGAGGAGCAAAATTGGCGTACCTTCAGCTGGTCCATGGCTTCCAGCCTATCGGTTTGAATTAAGTCCTCCAAGAATTCCATCTAAAAAAAAAAGGAGAGGAATGAATCAATCACATCTTATTAATCAGACAGGTAGAACGGTTGTCCTCCTATCTCAGTTCCAAGATGTGGGGCAAGATTAAATGATGATTAAACGAAGGGCAAGAACGAGTGTGCACAAGGCTAAAAACGACTGCAACCCAGAATCCAGTAGATTAATTTAATCTACTTAATGTCAAAACACACACAACAAACACTCCCCTCCTTTTCTGGCACTGATGATGTTACCCAGCTGGGTAATGAAATGTCTACAAGAAAACAATGAAGCTCAGAGAGCATCAAGGACCCCACAGTTCAATTCTGGGCTGCACATATTCTCCATTATTAGAAGTAAAATAAAAACTTACCTGGATCTGAAATTTACTTGTTTGGGCAGCTAACAATCGTGTGAGATGATCACCCAAGAAAGGCGTTTTGCTGGAGATAGGACGATCTGCTTCAGAAGAACCGATGACTGTGGAATTGTTCAAGGATGAGTGTTGTACTTGCTGTCTGGGAAATCCTGCAATTCAAAAAAAAATGATAAATCCTGCTTGAAGTTCAGCTCATTTCACGGAGCGTAATACCTTCAGGATGTGATCATTTATCTGTTGGCAACAATAGAGGAAGGTGGGGCCCTTGGAGCTCTCTGAACTTGGTGGCTTTCTTGCAGATGTTTCACGACCCAGCTAGGTAACATTATCAGAGCTAGAAGAAAGTGGACTTTGTGGAAGAGAGCAGAAGGGAGGAAAGAGGCAGAGGAGGAGGAGGAGGAGGAGGAGGAAGAGGAGGAATGTAGGGTCCTTGGTGGTCTCTGAGCTTGGTGGCTTTCTTGCAGATGTTTCAATACTAAATTAGGTAACATCATCAGTACTGGAAAGTAGTGGACTTGTGGAGGAGAAGAGAAGGAGGGGAGGAGGAGGAGGAGAAGGAGGACTGTGGGTCCTTGGTGCACTCTGAGTTTGGTTGTTTTCTTGCAGACGTTTCATGACTCAACTAGGTAACAACATGAGTGCTAGAAGGGAGTGGGCTTTGTGAAGGAGGAGGAGGAGGAAGAAGAGGAAGAAGAAGAGGAAGAGGAAGAGGAAGAGGAAGAGGAAGAAGAAGAAGAAGAAGAAGAAGAAGAAGAAGAAGAAGAAGAAGAAGAAGAAGAAGAAGAAGAAGAAGAAGAAGAAGAAGAAGAAGAAGAAGAAGAAGAAGAAGAAGAAGAAGAAGAAGAAGAAGAAGAAGAAGAAGAAGAAGAAGAAGAAGAAGAAGAAG